TGTGTTTGTGCGTATGTACGTACATGTCTGTGTGTATGTACATGTGTCTGTGTGTGTGTATTTCTATGTACATGTATCTGTGTGTATGCATGTCTGTACGTGCCTGTGTGTGTATGTGTGTGTGTGTGTACATATGTCTCTGTGCGTGTGTGTACGTGTGTGTGTGTACATGTCTGTGTGTGTGTGTGTGTGTGTACAGGTGTCTCTGTTTGTGTTTCTTGGTGGCGAGTAACTCTTAAGGCCTGGCTAGTAGATCAGGACTTGAAATTTTAAGCCCTGAATTCTAAGGCACTGCTGCCACTGACTGCTGGTCTCCCCAGATTTGGTGATGTCATTACTGTGCTGATTACTGTTCTCCTTGCTGGAGGGAAAGCTGTACCTGAGTACCTGCAGTGCAAGGATCTCCCTGCTTCAACCATTTGTGAATCTGTGCTTCCTCTACTTTTAGGGCCAATTTGCAAGTTTTTGTTAAAAAACAGGCATGGGTGGCTGGACACTTTAGGTCTAATATGGGTTTCAAAGGGGGATTCCAAGCAAAAAACAACGCTTGTTGATGGGGGCAGGGCTTTATCTCCACATCCCTGGCGAATGCTGGGGGAGGGAAGTCATGCCTTTTTGGAATCTGTAAGCCCCCTTTAAAAATACAAGGGCCCCCAGATATCCAGCTCTCCCCCCTATGTGAATGAGTATCTGTTACCCATTCACAAAAAAAGTAAACAGAAGATAAACATATATCCTCACAAAGGCCTTAAGCCGAAAAAAACAAACAAAACAGACAATACTGTGACTGACTTCAACCATGAATGACAGCTCACTGTCCAGCTGCTGAATGTGGAAAAGCCAGTCAGGGATGACCAAAGACTTTCATGGACAAGATTTGGTCTATGAAGTCACCCAGGATACCCACACTGGCTTGGTTCTATTGTGAAACAAACCGGCAGGTGGGCTAAGAAGTCGTCATTTATTGCTGGTGGAAAACCCCCCCAAAAAAAAAAAAAAAAATTTCTGACTGCCATAGCAGCCAGAGGTTCGGCCAAGTGAACAGGCCAGATTTGGCCATTAAAGGTTGCCCCTTCGGCAAACTATGACCAGCTAGAGTTTAGGTTGACCTCTACTTCTTCCTAAACCTCATCCCCACAATTACCCTTGTGAGGGGTGGGGGGGAGGGGACACCTCTGCCACTAACCCAGGGGTAGGTAACCTGAGAGCAGCAGGACTACAAATTCCATCATGCCTCTGCAAGTCATAGCTGTAACTGTCAGTTTTGTAATCTTTGCAATGCCTCATGGGAAATGTAGTTCCACAACAGCTAGAGAGCCATAGGTTGCCTACCCCTGCACTAACCAAATCCCCCATCAGTGTAAACCTCGGCTTAAAAAGGATTCACAACGCAAATGACTTCTTGCCAAGTGGCTACTGAATGTCAACAAGCCACCTAGAGATGCTAGCTAGACGTAACAGACCGCAAATGGTCACGACCATAAATGGCTGATCAGGTCACCTGAGCTACCCACTGTATTGTGCATGATGTGTAACAACCCGGCAGTTGGCACAGGAAGGCATTCCTTTAGTGCTGGTAGTGATACCGCCACAAAATGACTAAAAGAAGGTTTGGGTGGCCCAACAGGTTGGATCTGGCCACTTAGATCTGCCTATTCGGCAAATGTGGCAAAAAATAGCGATCAGGCTGAACTTTCCATCAACCCCAAAGCTCAATCTTGCAGATCACCAATGTAAAGGGGTCCCTTCTCCACTATCCACCATTATAAGAGGGTACTTACCTCTACTGATCACCAATATAAGGGGGCACCACTTCCACTGTCTACCATTAAAAATGGGTAACTATTTCTACTGTTCACCAATGTAACGGGGCGCCTCTTCCACTAGCCACCATTATAAGGGGGTGACTACTTCTACTGTTCACCAATGTAACGGGGCGCCTCTTCCAGTAGCCACCATTATAAGGGGGTGACTACTTCTACTGACCACCAGTATAAGGGGCACCTCTTCCACTACCTACCATTATAAATGGGTAAATATTTCTACTGATTGCCAACATAAGATAAGGTGGCACCTCTTATACTAACCACCACTAACTACTTCTACTGGTCAGTATTGTAAGGGGGCACCTCCTCCATTAGCCACCATTAGAAGGGGGTGACTACTTCTACTGACCACCAATGTAAAGGGAAACACCAATTTGTAGCATAAGGGGCCATTTCTACATTTATCACCAATGTAAGGGGCACCTCTTCCACTAGCCACCATTATAAGGGGAGTACTAATACTGACCACCAATGGAAGGGGCGCCTCTTCTACTAGCCACCATTATAAGGGGAGTACTACTTCTAATGACAACCAATGGAAGGGGCACCTCGTCCACTAACCACCATTATAAGGGGAGTACTACTTCTACTGACCACCAATATAAGGGGCACCTCTTCCACTAGCCACCATTATAAGGGGAGTAATACTTCTACTGACCACCAATGGAAGGGGTGCCTCTTCCACTAGCCAACATTATAAGGGGAGTACTACTTCTACTGACCACCAATATAAGGGGCGCCTCTTCCACTAGCCAACATTATAAGGGGAGTACTACTTCTACTGACCACCAATATAAGGGGCGCCTCTTCCACTAGCCAACATTATAAGGGGAGTACTACTTATACTGACCACCAATGGAAGGGGTGCCTCTTCCACTAACTATTATAAGGGGAGTACTACTTCTACTGACCACCAATGTAAGGGGTGCCTCTTCCACTAGCCACCATTATAAGGGGAGTACTACTTATACTGACCACCAATGTAAGGGGTGCCTCTTCCACTAGCCACCATTATAAGGGGAGATCTACTTCTACTGACCAACAATGTAAGGGGCGCTTTGTCCACTAGCCACCATTATAAGGGGAGTACTACACATACTGACCACCAATGGAAGGGGCGCCTCGTCCACTAGCCACCATTATAAGGGGAGTACTACACATACTGACCACCAATGGAAGGGGCGCCTCGTCCACTAGCCACCATTATAAGGGGAGTACTACACATACTGACCACCAATGGAAGGGGCGCCTCGTCCACTAGCCACCATTATAAGGGGAGTACTACACATACTGACCACCAATGTAAAGGGAAGCATTGACTTCCAGTGTAAGGGGCCATTTTTATACTGACAACCAATGTTAGGAAGCACTTGCCCACTGACCTCCAGCATAGGACAAGCACTATGCCACTGGCAACGACCATTGGAAAAGGGAAATTTCTCTGACCAAAGTAGAAGCCCCCTGACATTTGTACTGGTACTGTGTGTGCTCTGGGTATTGCACACCTCATTCCTTTATTACATCTACAATGAATTGATCGTACTAATATAAATATAGGAAAGGGGCTCGCTGACAAATTATTCGTAGGATTCCACCACGATCAAAGGTTGAGGTTGGCTGGTGTAATATGACAGAAGACAATGTCCGTTATTTCGGATTTATATTCTAATGGCGGACACAACAATCATTGTACACATTAGAGGGAAATCCAGAACAACCTAGAAGGGAGAGGACGGTTGGACACGTTTAAAACAAAAAAAACATAAAAAGCCGACACCGACGGACTCAAAGCAACAGACCTAATAACCGCAAGTCAGACAAGCTGGACACGAAGATAAAGAAGTCTCCTAAGGGACGCCAACATGGCTTCCTACCAGCTTCCTGTCAGTCCAATTCGGTGAAGCAGAGACAGGCCGGTGTGAGATCATGCTGTATATAACAGACATCCGCAGCTGCTACACGGGAGAGGGGGACTCCCACCAGACGAAGATTAATGGAAGACGAAGAAGATGTGCAGAAACAAAGAAATAAAATTATCTCCGATCATATGCTGGTGTTTGTTCCCAAAACATAACTACTTCTAGGAGAAAATAAAAGGCCCGACGTCTGAAAACACAGATATTTACACTGAAGGGGGAGATCCGGTGCAAAACCAAAACACCTGGAAGTGATCAAAAATGTCCATGTGAAAAAACATACAAAAAACGTGCAGTCCGGGGTGTGTCTGCAGACATAGTACAGGAGATGACCAGAGACTGCGGACATAGTACAGGAGATGACCAGAGACTGCAGACACAGTACAGGAGATGACCAGAGACTGCAGACACAGTACAGGAGATGACCAGAGACTGCAGACACAGTACAGGAGATGACCAGAGACTGCGGGACACAGGTACAGGAGATGACAGAGACTGCGGACACAGTACAGGGGATGACCAGAGACTGCGACACAGTACAGGAGATGACCAGAGACTGCGGACACAGTACAGGAGATGACCAGAGACTGCGGACACAGTACAGGAGATGACCAGAGACTGCGGACACAGTACAGGAGATGACCAGAGACTGCGGACACAGTACAGGAGATGACCAGAGACTGCTGACACAGTACAGGAGATGACCAGAGACTGCGGACACAGTACAGGAGATGACCAGAGACTGCGGACACAGTACAGGAGATGACCAGAGACTGCGGACATACAGGAGATGACCAGAGACTGCGGACATAGTACAGGAGATGACCAGAGACTGCAGACACAGTACAGGAGATGACCAGAGACTGCGGACACAGTACAGGAGATGACCAAAGACTGCGGACACAGTACAGGAGATGACCAGAGACTGCGGACACAGTACAGGAGATGACCAGAGACTGCGGACACAGTACAGGAGATGACCAGAGACTGCGGACATAGCACAGGAGATGACCAGAGACTGCGGACATAGTACAGGAGATGACCAGAGACTGCAGACACAGTACAGAGATGACCAGAGACTGCGGACACAGTACAGGAGATGACCAGAGACTGCGGACATAGTACAGGAGATGACCAGAGACTGCAGACACAGTACAGTAGATGACCAGAGACTGCAGACACAGTACAGGAGATGACCAGAGACTGCAGACACAGTACAGGAGATGACCAGAGACTGCGGACACAGTACAGGAGATGACCAGAGACTGCGGACACAGTACAGGAGATGACCAGAGACTGCGGACACAGTACAGGAGATGACCAGAGACTGCGGACACAGTACAGGAGATGACCAGAGACTGCGGACACAGTACAGGAGATGACCAGAGACTGCGGACACAGTACAGGAGATGACCAGAGACTGCGGACATAGCACAGGAGATGACCAGAGACTGCGGACATAGTACAGGAGATGACCAGAGACTGCAGACACAGTACAGGAGATGACCAGAGACTGCGGACACAGTACAGGAGATGACCAGAGACTGCGGACACAGTAACAGGAGATGACCAGAGACTGCAGACACAGCACAGGAGATGACCAGAGACTGCAGACACAGTACAGGAGATGACCAGTGACTGCGGACATAGTACAGGAGATGACCAGAGACTGCAGACACAGTACAGGAGATGATCAGAGACTGCGGACACAGTACAGGAGATGACCAGAGACTGCGGACATAGTACAGGAGATGACCAGAGACTGCAGACACAGTACAGGAGATGACCAAACACCTCCCTCTCCATCTTCAGGGACACATGACAGGTCTCAAAAGACTGCCGGACCAATCACAAAGCGCAGTGGGCACCCGGCTGTGAAGCCTCAACCTGCCACAGCCGGGTGCCCACACTAAAGATGCCGGCACCAGGGAGAGAAGATGGTGAGGACAGCACTGGACCGAGGAGAACAGAAGAGCCGAGAGGCCGGCCCGGAATTCTAACACGGCGGTGGCGGGAATTCCGGGCCGGCCGCTCCATAAGACGCAGACATTTCCCCCCATTTGTTTGGGGGAAAAAGTGCGTCTTATGGAGCAAAAAATACGGTACATGGCTGGATGCTGGATGGACTGGACAGGCCTCATATCTAGACTAAAGGATAAAAAAAATCATATAGTTCAGCTTGCCAATCCTTCGTTGTGACGGCTGCATTTTTTTTTCCCTGGTGATCCTGCCAGTAACAATCCCTGCCCCGGGGTGACAGCCCTCCCTCACTGTACTACAGCTAGAGAGGAGCAGAACACGGAGAAAACAGAACCCAACACTGATCTTCACGCATTATTGGCAACTCGCAAAATTCAAAGTGTTTGCATAAAATAAACAAAACAAAAAAAACAAAACAAAAAGCACAAGTTGTGCTTTAAATTTCCAAAGTGAAGGTCAAGAGGGGGAGTCAAAGACTAATGTCACGTCAACTCTCAATAAACTGGTGGCGCGGTGATCACTCAATCATGGATGTCATAACAAATGACAAAGAAAAGAAGGGAAATGGCAGGAGCTGTAAATCCTGGGAATGAAGGAATGACACGGGGGACGTGCTGTGCGGGTTATTATGGAGGGTCCAGCCATGACGATGAATTAGGATTGCACTTAAGTGACATAAAACATCACATTTCTGCTAATGTACAACTGCAAAAGGTCACCAGCGGATTGACTGCCAGAAGTGTGACGGCACAAGTGGAATACAGTCAGCAATCTACAGATCTTACACGTCTACAGCCGCCATTCTCAGCCCAGGGCTCCTCCAGAAGCTGCTAAGGGTTTCATGAGCTGAGGCTCCCCGACCTTCCATCTGATGGCTCCTAGACAGGTCTGGGATCAACGCCAAAGGAAACACACCAATGGTCTTATATAGCAGTCTTAAATGTGGAATTCTAACCACAAGTGGAGGGGTGGTAGGGTATTCTTCTCACTGACCACCAACGTACAGGAGCATTCTTCTCACTGACCACCAACATACGGGGGCATTCTTCTCACTGACCACCAACATGTACGGGAGCATTCTTCTCACTGACCACCATGTAATGGGGGCATTCTTCTCACTGACCACCAACATAATGGGGGCATTCTTCTCACTGACCACCAACATACGGGGGCATTCTTCTCATTGACCATCAATTATGGGAGCATTCTTCTCACTGACCACCAATGTATAGGGGCATTCTTCTCACTGACCACCAATGTACAGGAGCATTCTTCTCATTGACCATCAATGTATACGGGGAGCATTCTTCTCACTGACCACCAATGTATAGGAGCATTCTTCTCACTGACCACCAATGTACAGGGCATTCTTCTCACTGACCACCAACATACAGGGGCATTCCTCTCACTGACCACCAACATACAGGGGGCATTCCTCTCACTGACCACCAACGTAATGGGGGCATTCTTCTCAATGACCACCAACATAATGGGGCATTCTTCACATTGACCACCAACATAATGGGGGCATTCTTCTCACTGACCACCAACATAGGGGGCATTCTTCTCACTGACCACCAATGTACAGGGGCATTCTTCACTCACAATGACAGGAGCATTCTTCTCAATGTACAGGAGCATTCTTCTCACTGACCACCAATGTACAGGAGCATTCTTCTCACTGACCACCAACGTACAGGAGCATTCTTCTCACTGACCACCAACGTACAGGGGACCACCAACGTACAGGAGCATTCTTCTCATTGACCACCAACGTAATGGGGGCATTCTTCTCATTGACCACCAACGTAATGGGGGCATTCTTCTCATTGACCACCAACGTACAGGAGCATTTCTTCTCACTAATGGGGGCATTCCTCTCACCGACCACCAACGTAATGGGGCATTCTTCTCATTGACCACCAACGTAATGGGGGCATTCTTCTCATTGACCACCAATGTAATGGGGGCATTCTTCTCACTGACCACCAACGTAAGGAGGGCACTCTTCTCATTGACCACCAAACGTAATGGGAGCATTGTTCTCACTGACCACCAACGTAAAGGAGGGCACTCTTCTCATTGACCACCAAAGTAATGGGGGCATTATTCTCACTGACCACCAACGTAAAGGGAAGCATTCTTCTCACTGACCACCAATGTAAAGGGGCATTCTTCTTATTGATCACCACTGTAAGGGGCATTTTTCTCACTGACCACCAACGTAATGGGGGCATTCTTCTCATTGACCACCAAAGTAATGGGGGTATTCTTCTCATTGACCAATGTAAGGGGGGCATTCTTCTCACTGACCACCAAAGGGAGGCATTCTTCTCCCTGATTACCAACATAAGGGGGGCATTCTTCTCATTGATCACCAATGTAAAGGGGGGGGATCACCAGTGTAAAGGGGGCATTCCTCTCATTGATCACCAGTGTAAAGGGGGGCATTCTTCTCATTGATCACCAATGTAAGGGGGCATTTGTCTCATTGTCACCAAATAAATTGACTTTAGATGGGGTTCCTGAGGAGCTAAAAACTAGTTTAAGAGTTCCTTTAGGAAAAAAAAAAAGGTTGAGAAAGGCTGTTCTATAGTATCAACAACTTCAAAAACTATTTACTACAAAACAAGCAAAGAACCAGTACTGGGACAAATGATAGCTTCCAGTATGCATTAATGTAAATCCTGGATACGACGAAACGCGTAGAGGCGGGACTTTCGGATGTGATGTCACTTCTGCCATTTGGAGTGTAGACTGGCTCCAGAGCGGCACAGAGCAGTGGTGCTTCCAACACTTGTATTGGCAGGTCAATCTGGGTGGAGAGGAGGTGGGTGTATCGTACTGAGTGCACTACTTTTATTGTGATTTGGGCTTTTAAATAAACGTGTTGCTCTGACCCGTTCTTTCCTCGGTCTGCTTTTTCTGTAACACCATATGAATGTGATATCCCTACGATGGTCTCGGAGGCACTATGAAAGGAGGAGGCAGACAGCGAAGAAGCATTAAACATTTGAGCACATTGGTGACCTACTTATTGTAAGTGACTCACTCCTCCTGGTGAGTGGGGTAGTTTGGACCTTCGTGATCCCCCTCAGGACATACAGGGCCACCTATCACATGAAAGACTTATTACAGCACTTTGTTTTTGTGGCTCAATCGAGCTCTAGATGCACGTTTGTTATATCTGCTCGTCATTTCCATCTGTTGCACTTTGTGATATATTTTTTATTGACTTTTTTTTTTAGTTTGTTTTGTATTGGCATCTATTTTTAGGACAAGAATTGTGATGGAAGGGGAGCACCGCTCTATATTTATGGTCACTGGTCAGCTCAAGCCGGTGTGTATGTTGATCTCTCCTGGCAGCCAACCAGCCTCGTTGCCATCCATCAAAAACTTAGTTCAGCACTACAGGCGGACCTCAGTTCACAAACGCCTCGGGTAACGTAATTTTCAGTTTACGAATGAAAATCCATAGAAAATAATGCCTACAAATTTTATTCACAATACAAATCGGATTAATTGGTTTTCAATGCATTTACAAATATTTTTTAATCATGTGCCTGTAAAGTATTTATGCCTTGCCCCCCCCCCCCCCCCTTCCGGTCCCGACCCTTTTCCCCCCCCCCTTCCGGTCCCGACCCTTTTCCCCCCCTTCCTGTCCCGGTTCCCGACCCTTTCCCCCCCCCCTTTCCGGTCCCGACCCTTTCCCCCCCCTTCGGGTCCGGACACTTCCCCCCCCCCTTCCGGTTTGGACACTTTCCCCCCCCCTTCCGGTCCGGACACTTTCACCCCCTTCCAGTCCGGACACTTTCACCCCCTTCCAGTCCGGACACTTTCACCCCCTTCCAGTCCGGGACACTTTCACCCCCTTCCAGTCCGGACACTTTCACCCCTTCCAGTCCGGACACTTCCCCCCCTTCCAGTCCGGACACTTCCCCCCTTCCAGTCCAGCCCAATTTTCAACTTTGAGTGCTATCACACTTTGAATGACAATTGCGCGGGTCATGCAACACTATACCCAGATGAATTTTTTAGCATTTTTTTTGTGACAGATAGGCTGTAAAAGCAATCATTTCTCCTTCTCTCTGGATGCATTCCTGCAGCCATTGAGAAATACTGTGAGAGCTGTGATTGGTCACAGCTTGTCACATGGTACAAGGCTGTTGTGAATGGCACTGTACCGTGTGACCTCTGTGATCATTCACAGATTTCACACAAAGCAAGCAATGATGTCAGGAGGTTACATCTTGCTTACTACTCTGCATGTGATCACCGATTGGCCAATCTGTGTTCACATGATCAGGACGTCACACAGAGGTCCATACAGCGAGGGAGCGCGCACAGACTAAAATGGCGGGCGCCGTTTATGAAAAGCAACCTGCTCCTGCACTGCCACCGCCCGGCCGTTTATATACATGGGCTGGACAGGAAGTGGTTAAAGTGCACTTTATAAAGAGTTTTGAACAGATAAAAGCTTTTTTTTTTTTTACTCTTTTCTGACCTCTGTAACGGACTAATTGTAACCAATGAATTCCTATGGGAAACAGCATTTCGATTTACAAATTTTTCGCAGTACGAAAGGTCCCGCAGAACGCATTAAATTTGTAAACTGAGGTACGCCTGTATTTAAAAGTAGAACTAGGATCTTTCATTAAAAAAAAAAAAAAAATTATATACAGGTATATATACTCAGTATTGGAACTTCCTGTAAACTGGCGAAAACTCCTGTCAGTGAAGTCCAAAGCTTCCAGTGATGAGGTGACAACAATGCTGCACTGCTCCTGAATTCAGAGCAGAGTTGTCGCTCTCATGTAAGCGGTGTCTGCTTGCACGACGGTGGAGACGATGTTGAAGGGGGTGTGGCTATCAGCATGGTAACAGCTGACTCACAAGCCTGTAGCTTGTCATTGGGCATCAGCCACGCGCCTAGCCCCACCCACCGCTTTCTAGATTGCCAACACAGCCTCTGCTGCTGGACCCCTCCCACCGCAAGCTGCAGTGCCTGGAAGTGGGGGCATACGATACGCAAATAGAGCAGAATTTAGAACAGTCAGGGAGGGTAAGGAAAGATTTTTTTTTTCTGTGTTTACTTTATGAGGCTTGTATGTCACGTAGTGACCGGATTTGGTACATGTTTAGACGGTCATACCTGAGCCTTTAGCTGTACTGGGGACCGCCTACCATTAGGCA